GCAGGAAACGGAGGTGCTCCTGAGAGGGTGCAAAGTGCACCGGCAACCTCGCTCAGGGCTCACCAAACTCCAAGTCCTTGATGTTGCAGTGGAAGACGGCCTCCCCGTTCACTGCCAGTTCCACCACGTTCCAGTCCTCTATCTTCTCCAGGATGACCTGGTGTCCATCTTTGACCAACACAGCTACGAAAGATGGAGGGGGAGGTAGGCGACATGGGGACAGACTCCAGACTCACCCACTACGTAGGTGTCCACGTGAATGGCAGTAGCCCGCCTGCTCTCTGGTGGCTCGTGGCCATAACTCATTCCCCCTGGTGGGCATGTACCTGGCGCTGGCCTCTGCTGCCCTCAGCCTAGCTGTGCAGTTCAGCCAGAGGCCTGAGCAACTGAGGTTTCAGCTGCGACTTGTCGCAGACCCAGATGACCTGGTAAACAATGAGCTTTCTCTAGGATAGTGCTGCTGGGCTGTCCAGAGGCTTAACTGTACAGGGATGATACTCAGAATTGGAGGGGGTTCAGGGGGTTGGGAAACCTCTTATACCGCTGACGGAAATAGAAGTTGGTCACCTTTCTGAGGGGGAATTTGATGTATATGTCCAAAGCTTAAGGAAAATTCTAACCTTTGATCCAAGAAATTGCACTAAAAAGAAAGCTCCCTAAGGAAGAAAAAAAAAAAATCAGAAATCCAGGCACGTTTTTGCAATGAGATGTTCCTTTCTCTATTATTGTAACAGCAGAATACTGTGACTAACTTAAATGTCTAATAAGAAGATGGTCAAGGGACCAGCAAGTGGCATAGTGTTTAAGGTGCTGGACATTCCCACATGGCTGACCATGATTTTGAGTCCTGGACCTGGTGGCTTGCTTTCTCACTTTCTCTCTCTGTCTCTCTTTGCTGAAATTAAAATAAATGAATGAATAAATGAAAAATTAAATATTTCTTTTAAAAAATTTAAAAGATGGTCAAGAAAATGATGGTGCCCCATATGGTGAGATTTTACCTGGCAGTTAAGAAATGTTTATGAACTACTTAATAGCAAAAAAAAAAAAAAAAAAAAAAAAAAAAGAAAAAAATAAGATACAAATATGCATAATGGATATTAAAATATATATTCAATATTAATTAAAACATGTACATAAGGAAGAAGAAATTCCCAGTGAATCTCTGAGCTGAGATTATATGAAATGTTTTTTCTTGTTAGTCTTCCCACATTTTCCAGATTGCCTACAATAATCAGATTTTTAAAAAAAGGGAATGGACTAATCTCTTATTCTCATTTTTGGAATCTGCATTTTGGTCATCATTTATAGTTAATGGCTCCTTCCCCAGAGAACACGTGCCGAAAAATTGTTAGATTTAATCTCTATTGTGAAAATGCAAGGGTATGCAGTTTATTTATTTATTTAATTTTATTTGTCATTGTTGCTGTTATTCTTATTCAATTTAATGAGAGAGACACAGAGAGAGAGGGAGAAAAGCAAGCTGCCAGGTCCGGGACTCGAACTGCAGTTGGCCATGTGGGAGTCCAATGCCCGAACCACCACACCACTTGCAGGCCCTGGATATGTGGTTTATTAATAGAAGAAACCATGTGTGTTGGGTGGGCTAGAGCTGTTTTCTCCACTATGTCTCTCCCCAGTTTTCAGGATACGTTTGCTCTATGTAGTGTTAAATTGGTGGCCTCTGTCTCCCCAGAGAGACCGAGGTATTTTCTCCTACAACTCTGGTCTTAGAGTCGGGGTGCCACACCACATCTTTGGTGGTCTTCATACACTGGTGAGAATTTCGGTTAGGATGGAGCATGAACTCAGATGCATATCTTTGAAAGTCTTAGCATTTTGATCACTCTTACAGGAAGAAAAGCAGACAGTCATGTCAGTTAATTGCATTTAATTACAGAGACAATTGCTGTTTCAAAATGTTGGCGTGTCCACTTCTCCCTCGTTCAATCAGTTCAAGAACATCCAGCCCCAACTGTGAACATTTTAATTGCGTGACTTTAATTTCACTCTGGGAAGGAACTTCAGAAAGCGACTCAGCAAGGATCTCCATTAACACGATGGCGCTCCCTGGCACCTGGTGGTAGCCCTAATTGAGCCACGTCAGCCCATGCCCTTCTCTGGAGAACACCCGCATCTCTCCTTTGGCATCTTTTTGTTATTATATCCTGTTTGAGTGTCTTGTTCTTAAACATCTTTGAAGAGGCAGTGGCTTGGGCCATGGCTTTGTTTAAGGGAAGCGGTCCAGCTGGTTGGATTGGCAGTTGGCCGTTAGGGAGACATAAAAGCCATCTATTGGCAGAGATCTCTGGGACCAGATGCTCCTCCAGCAAAGCTCCCTTAGGAAGAGGCAATGGGTGGGAGGTATGATTTGGCCCTGCGACCTCGGCTTTGCAGTCAGAAACTGCCCATCTGACAGGAAGTAATCAGGAGCAAAGGGGTGTCTCCACCTCGCCCTGCATCCCGCCTTCGGGGCCAAGGCGCTGCCTGTCTGCCCAGTGCCAGCTCTCCAAGGCTCGTGAGCTCTGGAGAGGACATGGGTGCAGGGACTGTCTCCAGGGGACCAGGAGCAGTGCGGATGGGTGACCTGGGAGGTGGGCACCCGCAGCCCGCTGTGGTCCTTTCCTGGCAGCTCATCTGACCTTCACGTCGCATCTGGGTTTGGAGCTTGCTTTAAGAAGAAGCGCCACTCTCAGATGAAGCTAAGAAGCAGGATTTGATCCACCAGTCAGCTCCCCCTAACTTGCAGAGACCACGTCGCTCCCCACTCCACCCGATGTGTACAAAGCATGGGCTCTTGTCCTGCTGACCACAGTCCCCGTCCCCATCCCTCTTCAAGCTCACTGGATAAACAAACTCAGAACAGGGCAGGGTACTGCCTATGGCTCTCAGGCATGGCCTAGGCCTAGGGCTCTCGGACCCTTGTGACCTAAGTGTGACTCTGATCGGACTAATATGCATGTCAGAGTCCCCGTGTACTCGCTCTCAGGACGCCAGCCCCATCCCTCCACCGGGACGTGCTGAGCCCGGCTGTCAGGGCCAGTGCGGCCTCGCGGGATCAAACACGGAGAAGGCTCAGAATCCCTGCAGCTCACCAGATGCCACCTCTCTACATGGAGGACCCATCTTTCCTTCGGACTGCTGTGGGTTGTCTATTCAAAGAAAGGTCAGATAAATATACCCTCCCCCCCAGACCAGGTCTACGCGAAGGCTGAGGTCGACCTCCAGTGTGAACCAGCCAGAGGCTGTGAGGCCCCCTCTGAGCGCCTGCCTCTTTGAAGTGGCACCGTGTTCTTCAAGGGGGAGCTGGATAAACTGAGGGGACCCGGAAGAGGCCCCCTCGTGTCAGGCTGGTAGACTGTGTACCATCTGCAAATGCTTTAAATGCTGCTGGCTGGTGGAGCCAGCAGGTGGTGTGGTGGTTGAGCTGCTGGGCTCCCACATGGCCAACTGTGGTTTGAGTCCTGGACCTGGCTGCTTGCTTTCTCATTTTCCCTCGCTCGCGCGCTCTCTCTCTCTGGTGAGCACACATGCCCTATAGACAATGAAAAATAATAATTATAATCAATAAAATAATTCTTTTAAAATAAAATAATAACTAAAGTAAATGCTGCTGGCCGGGAAGTCGAGGTGCACAGACACGATGCCCATGACCGTTGATGAGTGCAGCTCATGCAAGCCCCGGACAGGACAATGGCACGTGGGATGTCAGCGAGAGAGGGGGCCTCCAGGTTCAAGGGTCAGTTTCAGTTCCTTCCAGTTTCTTCGAGTAGGCAGACTTAAGCACAGCAGCACAGAGAAACCAAGGACAGGGGGTGGGGGGGGAGGATTTAGGCTGCCCTTGAAGTGTTAGTTTAGTTTCATCAATACTGAGGCCAGAGTGGAGACATTC